AAGGATATCAATCTTTATGCGTTCCACTTCATTTTTGACAACCAATTTTCCTAGATTCATACTTCGTACATTCCATGTTCCAATGATTAATGGGTGTCTGCAGCTGTTTCTCTTCAATTTGAGTGGTGCCATATCAGCAAATGGAGGTCTTGAAAGCTTTACCTTATCCATAGGACTAAGGCTGGTTTACAAAGATGATGTAGTGCTTTCCCAGTCCTATTTTGAGAGCCTTCTAACCTAACCGGACTATTCATAAAGTTGCGCGGTAATGTATCAAACAGTGTTTCTTTGCTATTCATAAGGTTTTCCCTGGCCAATTGTTTGAGAAGTGGATGGCCTCTTCCTTGTTCCTAGTCTGTCTCAGTCTGTAAGCTGGGCTGATACCTGTGCACCATATGCATCCCGCTGGGTTTGAAACACCAGTGGCTCAGCCTCAAAACTCACATCAACACATCACGACGGCAGGACAAACCAACAGACAAGTTTGTGTCCCTGTTGGAAACCTCTCGTACCACCCTTACCTGGGTCCCTGTGGCTGACTCCTCCTCTGTCAGGATTCCTGGGCCTTTTAATCTTCTTTCTCCTGCTCTCCCGCCCAGCTGCTTTGGGCGTGCCTGGGTTCCCTCTCCTCACCTGGATCCCTGCAGCTGACCAGTGATGGTGGTGATGACAGCTGAGGAGGGTAATGAACCATGTAAGCCCTAGCGTGAGGATGGGAATGGGGACTCCTTTAATTCACTCAGGCACATCCCCCACCCTTCCTCTACTGCCCAGGTCTGCCCTGATCCATATCTATGCCAGTCTGAGCAGTCAGTGATCCAGGCATCTGAAAGCAGAGGTTGATACCCCAGATGCTGAGCATGCAGCAGGGTGCAGCTGAGGAGCCAGGGTGCAAGAGCAGCCACTGTCTTCAGGGAAACCCAGCCCCACCCCCAAATCCCCTTCTCCCTCCTTGAGATCTCCCTGGGAATCTACTACAATGGAGTGATGTTCTCTCTTGCGTGCCTGGATCATCCAACCTTTGGGAATCCCAAGCTCTAATCCGTTGTCATGATTCCCACGACCCAGCCAAAGCCAGTGCACTAGGCACCACCTGAATGCTCCACATGACGTAACCTGGAGGGCAGTCTCACAAAGCCGCACTATCCCCTGGCTGAGACATCACAGACAGAGCTGAGTTGCCAAGACAACTCCCCAGCCACCCCGCAGGCGGCCAGGACAGCTGATGGGCCTGGAGGTCCGCTGGAGGGAAGGCAGTCCTAGGACTTTAATGGAGGATGGTTAGTGGCACACAGTGGGCAGGTTTTATTCATCTTTTTGAGGCTCATTACAGGGCTTGGATCTCATGGAGCCCAGCAGAACTTCTTGGGAGCCCAGAGCTGGCATAAAACTTACAACAGGGGTCAGGAGCTCCTTGGTGTTTCTCCTCCCGGGGGATAGGAGTGGGGGAATCAAGGTGCTGGTTGCATTGTTGAGCTGCCAGGAGGCCAGGAGGGAATTCCCGGAATGATCTGGGCTGGAGAAGAACGCGTAGAGAGGCTGGTTACTTTGCCCCTTCTGCCAGACAGGGCATCCCGTGGCTGCGAGAAGCTACGAACGTTTCCTGGGCTGGTCAACACACCCACCGGCAAGCTCTCTCATTGAACAATTTTAGGGAGAGCGCCCGTGGGCTGAACGCTCCCAGAGGAGTTCTCACCCAGCAGAACCCGACCCCGGTTGGCTGGGGCACTCAGGAGACAACTGGGCAGCAAGGGAATCTCGGGGAGCCGGAGGAGGGGGTGTGCCCAGTAACCCACTTTCCTACCCTTCCCCCGCGCAAGTCTAACCCCTTTGAGCCAAGTTGTATGGGGTAGTCATGCCTGACTCTACCCTAAGTCGGCTTGTCTGCTCAATCTATCCCGCTGGACCGGTATTACTCCGGAGTTTGTCTCCAACAGTCCAAGGCCTGTACTACCAGCTTGGGAGAGGAGAGGGGAAGGGCAGGCATCTCCTGGCCCACACCCCACTCCCACCCCCTCCCACCCCGCTTCCCAACTCTCTTAAGAAGATAAATGGAACTGCTTCATAGAGCGATTGCCCCAGCTGTAGGGGTTTCAGCCAAGGACCCCATCTGGGGATGCAGAAGGGGATATAGACCCAGCCAGGATGTAGCTCAAATACTTGTGAGCCCCCAACCTGTCCAATCCAAGACTCCACTCCTTTAGCGGCGGAGAGCGACCCTACGCTGTATTAGGGGACCAAGGAGAGGATTAGGCTACCCCAGATTCATTCGAAGACAGGCTTGGATCTCACCATGGGCCCCACCTCTACCCAGAGGGGAAGCCCCACGCTGGGGATGGGTAACCTAAAGGTACATAGCCCGGATCCCCGTACCTTCGTCTCCCAGATTCAGCCCTTTTTCTCTCCGCGGTCTATAGGCTGGGCCTGGCTGTTTGCACTTCACAGCTGTTCACTTCAGAGTCCCAGCTGTATCATCCGTAGAAACGTCCAGGGCTGACGCGAAACGCGTGACTCTTCTTGCCCGGCGCCCCGCGCATCCTGGAGTCAGGCTCTCTTCACCCGCCCCCTCCAGACTCCTCAGGTGAACGCAGTCCTCTGGTCTGGGTCACCACCCGCTCCCCGCATCCTCCGTGGCTTCCGAATTCGCCTCGCTCAGCAACCCCGCGTGAAGGAGGAAGGGGGGAGGTCATTCCGGGACAGGGAGCAGGGATTGGGTGCCCGAGTTCGGGCACTGGTAGTCCAGCCCCTACCCCGCCAGCGCCAACTATAATTAGCTAGATGGGGCTCTGGACCAGGATGCAGAGCCAGCTCCCTCTGCCGCGCGGCCGGAGGTAGAGCCAGTGCGCAAGTGAGAGGGTAAGAGAGAACACTTGGCCCTCCGAAGGTGACTGGCGGGATGCGGACAAGACTGACGAGGTACTGTCCCGAGTAGTGGGGACAGTAGTGAGGACACACGGCTTACATGCTTCCCTGCACCTAGTGAATCCCATAGCTGTGCCAGGATAACCCAACTGTTCCAGCCTGGGATGTCGCCTTGGGAGGATGGGAAGGGGGCGGTGCAGCAGCGGGAGGGACGAGCTGGGGTTCCTTTGGTTTCTCCGGGTGCAGTTCTGACCTCCTCCTCTCTTGTCTTTGCTCACCTGCCTGAATCCAGCGAGCCAGGGCCATGAGCGTCTCAGACACCGCGCACAGTCCCTCGGATCCGGGGCGTGCCTCCCTATTGGTCCAGAAGGACGGCCTTAGCCTCCCATTGCCCGCCCCGAGAGCCCCCTCGTGGCCTCTCTCCCCAGACGAGGATCCCAGCTTGCCCCCTTTTCCTCTGGAAGAGCCTGGCCCCAGGCCTCTGGGCCAGGGGAACCTTCCCTCTCCAGCCTTGTCCTTAGAGGGACGGGAAAAGGAGGAAGAGGGTGAGGATGATGAAGATATGGCGCAACTAGAGGGGTTGCGCAGCGAGGAGCACCCGAGCCAGTTCTTCGCCGAGGCTCAGCGGCTGCGGGAGCAGAGGTTGTTGCTGGACGAAGAGGTGTTGGTTGGGGGGCGAGTGTACGGAGTACACCGGGTTATCTTGGCCGCAGTCAGCAGCCTCTTCCGAAGCAGGCTGCTGGGCTGCGGCGGTCCACAGGCCCCCCTCAGCCTTGACGTGGCCCTCAGGGGCTGGGAGGCAGTGTTGACCTTTGCCTATGAGGGAGTGCTGGGCCCAGTCTCGCTGCAGGATGTGCTGGCTGCGGCCGAGGCCCTGGGAGCGCCCCGGGTGAAGGCTGTGGCCCAGCAGAGAAGCGAGGGAGCTGTCAGCACCCGGGAAGATGACAAGAAGTCCAGCCAGGCAGAGGAACTGAGGGAGAACTTACGCAGGATCGAGCTCCTCTACAGAGAAGGCGTGGGATGTGACCTGGAGCTGGAGGCTGGAGGCTGCCGGCTAAGGGGTGAGATCCTGTGGGTCTTTTTACATTACTGCAGGTGCATATGCTATGAAATGGTATGTGCAAACAGCAGGTGGTTTGATACCCACTGCAATGGTTTTGACCCCTCTTGCAGTCAGAAGTTCCCCAAAGGTGGCCTTTGGTGCCTCTCCTGACCCACTGAAGGTGGGGCATGCGCAGTTGACTTGTTTTCCTAGGAGCACTGACAGATTTAAACTGATTCCTCACTCTCTGGCTTCTCCTACGCATAGCAACAAGGATTTCCCAGCCAGCTGGCTGGAGCTAAGGGTACAATTCCTGGCAATAGAACAAGCAAAAAGTGATTGACTGAAACAGGGATTTACCAAAGGCGTTTCTTGGCATCATCTGTTCAGGACACAGGGAAAGCCAGTAAAACATGGTGGGAAAACAGTGTGTCCTTTTACCTAAGTGTGCTCCACACCAGGGCAGACCTGTGGATCCCACAGCTAATGAGCAAGTTCTGATACTGTTTTGCCAGAATCTTCAGGCTATCAGGCATGGCACTAAGAAAGCTAAGTAGGTTTGAATAAGCTGAGTGTTATTCATATTCTATAACATTTAATGAGGTACTGAGTGCCAGGAATTTTACACATGCCACCTCTCTTAATTCTCACTGAAAGCTCATGAGATAGATGCTATTGTCCTTAGGTGCAGGTAATCCAAAACTGTACCCACTGCCATCTGCCATCAAGTCAATTCAAACTCATAGCAACCTATTGGACAGACTAGAACTGCCCCACAATGTCTGCTCAAACATCTATAGATGTTTATAGAAGCAGACTGTCTCATCTTTCTCCCACAGAGCAGCTGGTGGGTTTGAACTGCTGACCTTTTGGTTAGCACCCAAATGCTTTAACCACTGCACCACCAGAGCTCCTTAGGTTCAGATAAGGACCATTAAACTCAGACATGTTAATTGGTGAGAACCAGATACAAGCCCACATTCACTAGTCCAGCCTGCTTCCACTAGGTTGCCTATGGTGCAGTATGAATGACACATGGAAAATGGAGTCAGAATATGGACACACAAGTTTAAAGTTGCTTGGGTTTAGTTTAGAGATTGTCCAGTTCTGCTCTTACACTATACTGATAAATAAATCAGAGTTCAAGATGTTCCAAAGTCACCTAGCTGCTATTCATTAGAGGACCCAAAGTTCTTCTGGGACTCCCAGAAGGAAAAGAATCCCTAAAGTGTTTATTATGATTTCTGATAGTATTAGATGGAATTTAAAATTCTATAATTAGAGAATTCTCATTAGCACTTGGAATTTAAAAGTATTCCACTGCTTTCATTTCCTTAAGAAACATTTCAACTTATTGGTAGGAACCTGTCACTTAAAAATCCTAGGGGATAAGGATGAATAAATGGTGTTAGCACTTCCACAATGTCTCTGAACTATAGGTTGATATGGAAGGTGAGATGGCTTATTCTGCTTCTAAGAATGCAGATTTTCTCAGACGATATATATTTGAAAACTGTCACTGATGTTTACTACTTGGGAGCACAGGCCACTACCTACTGTTTAAAAAGATCATGGAAAGCCATATCGACATCACCTGCCCTTTGAGAGAGGCAGACATGTCACAATTGGTCAAAACCCACAGCCAAACCCATTGTCATCAATTGAGTCTATTCCAACTCATAGCTACCCTATAAGATAGACTAGAACTGCCCCATAGGGTTTCCAAGGCTATAAATCTTTATGGAAGTAGACTGCCATATCTTTCTTCTGTAGAATGGCTGATGGGTTCGGACTTTGAATCTCTTGGTCAGCAGCCAAATACCTTAACCGCTGCATAATCAGAGCTCCTTACAGTTGGTCAAAGCAGCATAGAATTCATATGACTCTCTGGTAGCTTGGCCCCTGTGTGACTTGCCTGACAGTAGTACTTCTAGCACATATTTCAAGCACATGTTGTTGTTGTTGTTGTTATGTGCCGTCGAGTTGGACCTGACTCATAGCGACCCCTTGTTGGGTTTCCGAGGCAGTATCACTACGGAAGTAGATTGCCCCATCTTCCTTCTGAGGGGTGGCCAGTGGGTTTGAACCACCAGCCTTCTGGTTAGCAGTCAAGTGCCTTAAGCACTACGATAAATGCCCAAACACCCATCATCCAAATTTAACAATTGAAATTTTTACTATATATGTTTCATCTTTTTATTTTTTGCTGTAGTTTAAAGCAAATTCACATTTCACTCATAAATACTTGGATATGTGTCTCTTTAAAAGAGGACATTTTCTCATACAAGCACAACAAATTAACAGTAATTCCTTAACGTCACCTAGTCGACATCTATATTTTTCCGCTTGTCAAAAAAATGTCTCTTAGAGCTGGTTTGTTCAACCCAGGAGCCAATCAGGGACTATGCTGTGCTCAGCTGGATGTCTCAAGTATTCTTTAACCCAATACAATCCTACCTTCCTTTTCTATGGTGACTTATTGAAGAAACAAGATCAGTTATCCTGTAGAATGCTTCGTTTTCTAGATTTGAAATTTTCTTTCAAATCAGAAAGATTTCAGATAAAGCTGAGACACATGGAAAATCTTAAGTGCTAAATCTTGGGCAAGAAGAGATGGCCATCAAATGAGGCTGGGTTAGAGTCATTTCTGCTTGTGGTACCATTTTCCAAGCAAAATTTAACTAACAGTAACTTGTTTAAGTTGTTTCTTTAGCTTCTCAATTTCCTCTAAGCTCAAATTTAGATTTAAAGGCTAGATTAAAGCTAGATATTTTGGTCAGAATATAGGTGATGTTGTATACTTCTAATTGAGTTATATCAGGAGGCATATGAGGTCTAGTCATTAATAGGATAGTTTCAGTGGCATGAGGTCATGTGGGCAACCAGAGCATGTCCATTGCAGCCTGACATCAGTGACTGGATGGTGATGATCTGCCCAGACTGTTATTGTATGGAAACAGTCACCAAATTACTTCCTTTCTTTAGGGTGCAGTTTTCTTATCTTAAAAGGAGCAATATGAACAAGATGATTTTGAAGGTTCTGTCTGGTGATGCAGTGCCTAAGGCATTTGACTACTAGCTAGAAGGTTGGCAGTTCAAACCCACCAGCTGCTCTACGGAAGGAAGCAATCTACTTCTGTAAAGATTCCTGCCTAGGAAACCCAACAGGAGTTGCTATGAGTCAAAATCGACTTGATGGCAGTGGGCTTTTTTTTTTTTTTTGTCTTAGTTATCTAGTGCTGCTATAACAGAAGTACCCCAAGTGTATGGCTTTAACAAACAAATTTATTTTCTCACAGTTTAGGAGACTAGAAGTCTGAATTCAGGACACCAGCTCTAAGGGAAGGTTTTTTTCTCTGACAGCTCTGTGGAAAGTTCTTTGTCTCTTTTCAGCTTCTGTCCCTTGGCTCCTTGGCAGGGGCAGATCATTCAGTAAGTAAACCCAAGTAAGCCTGGGCTTACTTACTGGGTACTCTGTCTCTGTCAGGGATAGTAAATTTGAAAAGAGGTGTTGATTCTGTGCCAACCATACCTAGAAGCAGAATCTTTGATGTGGTAAAAAAAAAAAAAAGTGAAATTGTGCGCTACAGATTAGTAACTAAGCACAAGTAAGCCCATGCTTACCTTGCTTATTGGGTAATCCAACACTGATCTTCATGTGCCATGGCGTCTGTCTTCCCCCATCTCTGCTTACTTGCTTGCTTAATCTGCTTTTATATCTCCAAAGAGATTTTCCATAATACTTTCTCATGAACATAACAAAGAAAACCTATTCCCAAATGGGATTTTAACCACAGGCATAGAGGTTAGGATTTATAACACATATTTTTGGGGAACACAATTCAATCCATAACAGATTATTTTCACAATTCAAATCTCTGAATTCCAGGAACCATAGCAAGGTAGGAGCAGGTACACAGAAAAGCTGGGACACATGGAAAATCTTAAGTGCTAAATCTTGGGCAAGAAGAGATGGCCATCAAATGAGGCTGGGTTAGAGTCATTTCTGCTTGTGGTACCATTTTCCAAGCAAAATTGAACTAACAGTATAGTGGGTGGCAGTGGCTCTAGCAATAAAGAAAAATATGTTACTCATGATACAGAGAGACTTATATAAGTTGCACATTGGTCTTTTAGTTTATTTTGTGCCCCCTTTTAGCAAATCCTGTCTCAACTCGATCTAGCAAGACTCTTTCTAAGTCATCTGGATCAAAGAGACTAAAGCAATTTTTCAAAGTGTCTTCAGGCCACTGGGACTTCTGGTAGTGTAGTGGCGAAGGCACTTAACTGCTTACCAGTAAGCTGGCAGTTCAAACTCACCAGCCACTCCTTGGAAGGAAGGTTAGGCAATCTACTTCCATAGTGATACTGCCTTAGAAACCCAGGGAGGGGTTGCTATGAGTTGGATCCAACTCTACAGCAGTGAGTTTGGTTCCCCCCCACACACAAGACCACCAGCAGGGTGTTGTTAGTTTCAGGCTGCTAACAGGGTGCTTGCAAATTTTAAAATACAAAATTTTAGGATCTCCATCCAGACCCACTGAATCAGAATCTTGGAATGAGTCCCTGAAATCTACATTTTTAATACCTCCCCCGCCCCCATGTTTTTCCGTTGCACGCTACAGTTTGGCCTTTAGCCTTGGGTGGTTGGCCCCAAAATCAGGTTGTAGATTGGGATGGTATCTAGCAGTCTTGTAACACTCTGTGTCCCTCTCTGCTTCTTTTCCCCTCCTGCAGTGCACCGAGCAGCTCTTGCCTGTGGCAGTGAGTTCTTTGGGGCCATGCTCCTGAGTGGAATGAAGGAATCTCATGGCACGGAGGTGTCCCTGCACACCATCTCTGCCGAGGACCTGCAGCTCCTCGTCTCTTTTGCCTACTCCGGGGTTGTGCGGGCAAGTTGGTCAGGACTTCTGAGAGCTGCCCAGGCTGCTCTGCAGTACCAGAGCTCTTCCTGTCTGGCTTTGTGCCAGAGAGCCTTGGCACAGGGTCTCAGCCCTGCCCGTTGCCTGGCCCTGTTTCCCATGGCTGAAGCCCCTGGGTTGGAGAGGCTCTGGAGCAAAGTTCGTCACTACCTCCTCACCCACCTGCCTGTTGTGGCTTTGTGCCCCACTTTCCCTTCTTTACCGGCTGCCTACCTGGCTGAACTCCTAGATAGTGATGAGCTTCATGTGCAGGAGGAGTTTGAGGCCTTTGTGGCTGCACGGTGTTGGCTAGCTGCCAACCCTGAGACCCAGGAGTCAGAGGCCAAGGCCCTGCTGCGATGTGTCCGCTTTGGCCGCATGTCCACCAGGGAGCTGCGGAGGGTGCGGGCAGCTGGGCTCCCACCGTTCCTGCCACTGGACCTACTGCACCAGCTGATGGTAGAAGCTGAGGTTCCAGGTCAGGAGAGGCGGAGGGAGCCTGACCGGGCACTGGTGGTGATTGGTGGGGATGGGCTCAGATCAGACATGGCTGTAAGACAGCCATCCCGAGGAGTGTGGTGGGCCCGGGCCTTCTGCTGTGGCATGGGACTGGTGCGAACTGTGGAGTGGGGGCGGCTGCCTGCCCTGCCTGCCCCCGGGCGCTTCCGTCATGGGGCGTCCAGTCTGTCAGGAAGTGAACTCTATGTGTGTGGAGGACAAGACTTCTACAGCCACTCCAATACTCTGGCTTCGACTCTCAGGTATGGGTCCCTGAGGGTGGGTAGCATGTGGCGGGCCCTGAGGTGGGCAAGTGAAGGAAATTGCTGACCCAGTCAATTGCAGACTTCCAGAATCACCCTTCTAATCTCTTGTCACACTGTGTTCAGATGGGATCCCAGTCAAGAAGACTGGGAGGAGAAAGCACCTTTGTGCCAGCCTCGGAGCTTTTTTCCCCTGGTAGTGTTGGATGGCCAACTTTATGCCCTGGGTGGGCGACACAATGGTATTGCCCTCAACTCTGTGGAGACCTACAATCCTGAGCTCAATGTCTGGAGGTGAGCAGGGAAGGGGATGTTTCTGAGGTATTAGGGATTGACTAGGAAACTTAGAATAGAAGGAGAATTGAAGATGATATTTGCCTTGTCTTGTGTCCTGTTCTCCCTTAGGCCAGCACCTGCACTTCCAGCACCGTGCTTTGCCCATGCAGCTGCTGTTTTGGAGGGCAGATTGTACGTGAGCGGTGGCTGTTGTGAAAGTGGCCGATACCTGGCCTCATTGCTGCACTATGACCCCAAACTTGAGAACCCAGGGACACTTTTAAGCCCTATGGGGGTACCTCGAGCTGCCCATGTCATGGCTGCTCTGGGTGGGCAGTTGTATGTAGCAGGTGGGCTGGGTGAGACCGGGGACTTGCTGAGCTTTGAAACCTATGAACCAAGGACTGATAGCTGGACTCACCTTGCACCTCTGCCCTCTCCCCATGTGGGAGCTGCAGGTGCTGTGCTCCAGGGAGAGCTACTAGTGCTGGGAGGTTACAGCCACCGTACCTATGCCCTCTCCCACCTTATTCATGCCTATTGTCCTGGCCTGGGCCGATGGCTCTGCCTGGGAACGCTGCCAAGGCCTCGAGCTGAGATGCCTGCCTGCATCCTGACACTGCCCACTGTGGAACACATAGTTTTAGGTCCCACCCTACACCAAACCAAACCTGCTGGGTGAAGGGAGACAAGCAGCCTGTGGGGGTGGTAAGGAAGGGATAAAGAACATCATGAGAAGAGGGCAGAGATTATAGAGGTAGGGGAGGGAGAGAAGGCTTCATTCATGATAGGTTTTTTTTTTTTTTTTCACTTGCTGAGAATTTAGAGCTCACCAGCTATTTTAGTATATATGATCTCCACTGAGGAAAGGTGGTTCCAGAACTCCTGGGGAAAGGGTTTGGGGGAATGGGTGGCAGCTGAATATCTGGGTAAGAGGTGACCAGGAGCAACTGCACCCAGGTTTATAGATCTTGACACAGTTCTTGGAGGGAAAGTGTATCTGGCTGAGCAGATAGTCAAGAAGCTCCAGTAACTGAAAGGGTTATAGGAGGTCATATGAGAACAGTCAGAAAAGTAATTCTGATCTGTGGATCAAGGAAAAAATGTGAAAAGACTATCCGTGAAAGAGTCTGAGAAGTGTTGAGGAAAGGATTGTAAATTGTTCAGCTCTTCCCTCTTCCAGCACGTGTGCCTTTTTCCTCTCCAGTCCCTGGGACGCCTAAGCCCTCTTGACAATGTTCTTTCTCAGGTGACTGTAGTCTCAGTATAGAGCTTCCCCAGCCTAGGCCTCACACGCTGCCCCCAAGATCCTCTCTTTTCAGTCTGAGGCAGAAGGTCCTGCATGGACCTGAGTACAGAAAAGGGGCCTAAGATACTTGAGGGCCTTCCAGTGTGATGAGGATTGCTGTATGTGGGAAAACATGAGAAGGGCAGAGGTGAAGGAGGGAGATGCCAATGGTAGGAAAGGGATACACAGTTGAGGGGATGGGTGGAAGAAGTGAGAGCCTATCTGGCTTCTTTTATTTCCTTTGACATGAATTGAGGGGTCAGGAGTGAAAATGAGACAATTGTAGTGTAAGGTCCCAATTTTGAAAGAGATGGAAGAGAAAGGAGTTGGAAGCTGAGACTCTGACCCAACAAAATTGTTAAACTAACTTGCCCTTCATCCCTTTCCCCTTGAGATTCTTTAATCCATTTCCCTTTTTCTTGGCCATGGAGGATTGATTCAAAGATTTCTCTCTCCTTCCCTATATCCTGCTCTTCCTTCCTTTTACTTCTTCCTCTCTTTTTCTACTTTCTCCCTCACACAACTATTAGTTACTTTCTAAGTGCCAGCACTGCATGAAGTACTAGCAACACAAAGGTCAGAGAGCTCCTGACAGCAGGCAGATTTGTAAACAAATACCCATTTTGTAGTGGACTTAGAGGTACAGGGAAAGTCTTTTGGGAGCCCAGGGAAAGCTTCTGTCAGGGAAGACATCATCATCTGGGTGTAGTCTGAGCTGGCTCTTGAAGGCTACCAAGCAACTGACCAGTTAGAGAAGGAGTGATGCATTCCAGTCAGAGAAAAGAAACTAACAGGGCATAGTGTGCCCTTTGCTCCATAGGAAAGGGGAAGTACTGACTTCCAGAGGTTTTTCAGAGAATTCTGCTACTGTTGTCAGCTCTTTCTTCTCTAGAGCCTCTCTCATAACAACGGCTTCCACTTTACTCCCCTAAATTTTTCCTGTCTGATATTGCCATTTCCCTTGTCTGACCGCTGGGTGGCTCAGGTTTTCTGTGTAGGAGAGACTCCCATCCTCATTGTTTATTAAGATAATCTGGCTTGTGGAACAATCTCCTAATGGTGAAATGAAAGAGCCTCCCTTACACCTTTCTTCATTCTGGTCCTGGAAGAACTTGACATGCTTTTGTTTATTTTTTGAGATTTTATTATTTTACTAGGAGATATATATAGGAGCTCTGGTGGCATAGTGCCTAAGGCATTTGACTGCTAACCAGAAGGCTGGCAGTTCAAACCCACCAGCCACTCCTCGGAAGGAAGGTTGGGCAATCTACTTCCATAGGGATACTGCCTTAGAAACTCAAGGATGGGTTGCTATGAGTCAGATCCAACACAATGGCAGTGAGTTAGGTTATGTATATATATATATATATATATATATATATGTTTAAGATAGACTAGGAATATAGTTGAAAATGAAGGGGAGCAAGTACTATATATAAGAGAAAAGGGAAGGAAGATCAAAGACAAAAGGAATGGAAGTAGGAGGGAATGAGGAACTATAAAGAGTTGTGTTTTTAAGAAGAACTTTTATGAACACATACTTTATGATTCGTACCCCAGAACAAGGTTAATAAAGGTTTCACGGTGATCAAATCTTGTCTGAGTTTCTCAACTATCAAAATCATTCAAAATGGCCTGAAATTTATCTTCTTCACCACACTACCGAAACCACATTCCCTCCATTGTCACCATGATCTACCTCTTACTAAATCTAATGATGTTATGGCCTGATGATCTTTCTACAGCAATTCCCTGGCTTGAAAATTGGCTCTTACCCTTATCTCTTATCTCTCCAATTCAAAGGGATAGCAGAAAGCCAAATCATAATGCCTAAGGAGGTGTAGTTCCATCCTAGGTAGAGCTGATAGTCAAGTTCTGTGGATGGGGTTGGTTGGTTGGTTGAAGAAATCTCTTTCATTTTTTGGTTTTGAAATTGAGGCTAAGGTGAGGAGAGAAGAGGAAGTCTTTGATTTGAAGCAAGACCCCAGTCAATGGTCCATTCTTCAGTGTGAGGGGCCTGACATAGGCAAGGTAACTGATTTAGCCATGTAGATTGAGCTTCAGGGTAGAATTCCAACCCTAGAAGGGGAGAGGAATGAGTATCAGATAATGATCCAAAGTGTTTTTGATAATCCCACTCACCTCCCCTTTCCTTTAACCTTCTTTGGTGAGGGTGGAATTTCTAATATCCTCCCATCTTTGCAGGATTGACTCAAGAACTGGATGGAATTGGGCATGGAGAACTTTTTTCAAATCTTGCCTTTTGCTCCTCTTCAGAAAGCTCACTTCTTTTATACCTCCAGCCTTAATGGCTTACCTGAGTTCTAGTTTGATTACTTTTCAGCAACCCTCACCTCCACTTGGATGTACCATCATCATTAGTTCAGACTCAGAATGATTCATTAGCATTACCATTTTCCCTATTTTCTAGACATGAAGCTTTGGACCCATCTTGAGCCTCTTCTCCCTTATCTCTTTTTCTTCATTTGATTTATGTACTAGTCGGACTATTAAAATGGAAACCTAATTGGTCCCTTGCGAAAAATGCATGGGAGCAGCATCTCCTGACCTCCTCTAGTTTCACGAATGGGAGACAGAATCACCATCAGCAGCATCAGCCCAAGGGTGATGGAGGTCAGACATGCCACCACCCTCCAGCCTTTTTGCCAATTCTGACACCAACCATTCCTCACACTGCATTATCTTCTTCTCTCTGCATTCGATAATTCATTGTAATGATCACACAGAACTCACAAACAATGCTTACATTAATGGGGTTTATTAGGGAAGTAACAGGTTATAATTAAGGATCAGAAATAAGTCAGAATACAGTTCTTCAATCATGACAGCTCTTCTCAGCCATGGCATGCATCTCCTTGGCCTCAGCCTCAGCCTTCGCGCTGCCTAGGTCAGTGTTACAAAGCTCTTTTAGCATTGCTGATAGGTGCCCAAAGGAGCTCTGGTAGTGTAGTGCCTAAGGCCCTTGACTGCTAACCAGAAGGCTGGCGGTTCAAACCCACCAGCCACTCCTCAGAAGGAAGGCTGGGCAATCTATTTCCGCAGTGATACTGCCTCAGAAACCCAAGGAGGGGTCGCTATGAGTCAGGTCTGACTCTATGGCACATAACAACAACAACAACAATAGGTGCCCATAGAGGCATCCCACTCTCCCAGCAAACTTTCTGCCTGAAAGCACTCATCTTTCTTACTCTGTGGTCCAGAAAGCTTGCTGCTTTATCTTATTCAATGACCACACAGAATTTACAGACAATACTCATGATTATGAGGCTTATTATGGAAGTAACAGGTTACAATGCAGCACCACGAAACAATTCAGGACACAGTTCTTAAATCAAGACATCTTCTTAGCCCTGCTGTAGACATGCTTCTCTCTGGTCTCAGCCTTTGCCTTCCTTGGGCCAATGTTACAAAGCTCTTTTAGCTTTGCATATAGGTGCCCAAAGAGGCACCCCACTCTACCAACAAGACTTCTGCCCAAAGGCACTCAGCTTCTTGCTCCGTGGGCCAGGAAGCCTACCATTCTATCTTGTGCCAGTCTCTTGGTTCTGTTGATTCTGCTACCACTGTCTCTCTGCTGTCTCAGTGTAGGGATCTTGGGTCCAAGGGCACACTCCACCTCTGGTTCTTTCTTGATAGCAGTGAGATCTCCCGTTTTCACCTTTGTGATGGCTGCCTCGTTTTAAGCCTAGCAGAATGGTAAAACTGACTAATTCCCACATTAGAGTGCCATACACCTTATTTCCATGGTTCCATTTCCACAAGGGTGACAAGTACCTTATTTATATTATTATCAAGCTATCCAATCCTCTTGGTGGGCCACAAGAACCTCACATTTGCATAGTCCCACCTAGTCATATGGTGGGAGTCACAAAGACCATGACTAGAAGGGCCATATTAAGTAACTCATTGTAGCACAGCCCTTTTCCCAACCTTTTTTTTTCTATCAAATACATTATATATGCTATGCCATGACTACCTGGAAAATTGGCAGTAAGGAACGTTTAAAATATGGGGAAAAAAAAAAATAATAAGAGGATAAATTTGTTATGTGCCGTCGAGTAGGACCCAACTCATAGAGACCCCTCCTTGGGTTTCTGAGGCAGTATCACTACAGAGGTAGATTGCCCAACCTTCTTTCTGAGGAGTGGCTGGTGGGTTTGAACTGCCAGCCTTCTGGTTAGCAGTCAAGTGCCTTAGGCACTATGCTACCAGAGTTCCTAAGAGGATAAAAGGCACATGAAAATTCTACCAGCTGCAAAACAAAGTGTGATTACTTACCCAGACAGACACTCTAGGCTGTAGCAGCAACAATGTCCAATGGAATGAGTGAAAAATTGCAAAGAAAGTTTGTTTAATAGAATCATGGAATGAAGATATTTTTGAGATCATATAATTCAAGCCCTATTTGTACAGT